TTTTAAATGATCTCGTTCTGGTATTAATAGTGATGATAAAAGGAGTTCATCATATAATTTTGAAATTGAAAATGAAATTGGTTGCTTGAGAAATGGAGACTATATTCTTACATGTATAATAGACAAACTCCATTTTCTAGTACTTCTGATATTGATAATGATCTCTTAATTTGAAGCGGCAATTAAATTCCTGTTTGATTTAAAGAACACTAGTAGACCATATTCTGACTTGATCTATAATAGACGAAGTTGTCATGCCACAACACAGTACATGAAAGAACGTCATTTTCAATTTCAATGTATGGCAAACTAGGTTGACATTTTATCTTCAGAAAATGCAATTTATAGCGGAAATGCAATTAGCTTTTAAAAATTGAAATCTGGTTTTGTTATCCGTGCCTCTTGCAGTGACAACTGATTTTCTCAGCTTTGATAAAATAAACAATGATTGACATAACGTTGGGGATTTGATAGTTTCGAATTGACTTGAGAACTTCTTCCATAACAAAATGTTCAGATCGTAAATACAAGCACAAGAAAATCTGAATAAATACAATTGAAAAGATCTGTTCTTGTGATTGGAATTATTCTTCACTCGAGTTGCACATAATTTATTCAAAAATATCAATTCTGTTTTTGACAAGATAATTTTCTAATGGAATCGAGTTGACAATTTTGTTATGCACTGAAAGTACCAATATTAAAAAAAAAAGAAGTTCCTTAATCGATTTTCATGACTGAATGGTCTCTTTTCATTTGCATATTTAGATGAAATAAATTGAGCTTTTGTCCTGTAGTTCTTTCCCATTACCTAAAAGAATAAAGAATACTTAGAGCTGCATTTTAGTCTATTTTCTTAACGAAATATCTTGATTTATTCTGGATTTCTTTTGAAAACTTAACTCAATATCAAGGTACCATTTAGAAGTTGAAAAATGGCCTCTAAGGTTATGTTAATGAACATCGGGACCAGCTTTAACTTTTAATTGTACCTGAGGCTGAAAACTGAAGCCACATTCGATTCGCATATACTTCACAATATGATTAGTATGGTGATTATCTGCATCTGAATCGAATGTGATTCATTCTTAATATCATATTGCGTCTGGTAAACAGTCCGAAGTAAATTTCGAAAACTCATGGTTTGAATAAAGTAATGTTGTTAATGATTATTGAAGCTAATATATTTATTAATAATACGCCCTTTATACATTGTGATACTGTTCTCTCTAGTATCTATTAACTGAAGCCAAAATTATAGTGATTGTATCATTTCAGCCCCATTCACCATTCCAAATACAGTTCTTTATATCTTTTCTTATAACGCAAATGTCAACTTAGTCACCTCTATTCATAATTCCACTCGACGTAGCTGTAAATGGGTACCGATGATCTGGGAAAGAACAATACTTGACCAAGGACCAGCTGGTAGAAATGATCCTCCGTGAAAGGCTCCTTTGTTGTTTTTCTTGAAAAATATAGCCTAGTTGTTACGTTCTCTCTTTTTTCGTTGGTTTTGTGATAATGACATCATAATTCCAGTCGCCTAAGCAGTAAATGGGTACGGATAATCTGAAAAAGATCAATGCCAAGATGCTTGACCAATGGTAGGCTGGTAGATCCTTAGCGAACCTTAGTTGTTATCCTTGCAAAATATAGGTGCTTCTTTCTCTCGTTTGTTCTTAGGTTTTGTGACGATGCGTCATAATCTGTACCAGATATCAATCACAGTAACAATTCATTTGAACTGATTTTACTGTCACTATTTCTTATTTCTCAACTTCTGTTTTCTCTCATTTGCATAAAGTAGTCTCTAGACAATCAACATGTCATTATTCATTTTCCGGATAAGGCAAATTCTGCGTCTCTTCTTATTTCGTTTTTTGTCAGAAGTTGTAATTTCTCGAGAGACAAACAGTTAAACTGTGGAATCCTGGTTATTTCAGGTCGATTGTCTTATCGTCGGTTGTATCTTCCTCCACAGTGATGCTAACAGTGAAGAGAAGAAAATTGACATACAGAAAGAAAAGATGAGTTCTTGAATATACAATACGTAAAAAGTCTTTTGGTGACGTAGCCTACTAAAAATGTACGAAAAATTGTACACCAGCGAATAGGCCAACAGCCAAGCAGAGCCCCCGATTTCATGCGTCATTATCATTTTTTATTTTTCTGTCGAGGCCTCAGATTGGCTGTATTCGCTAGCGTACAATCCAATCAAATAGCTGCATTCACTAACTTCCGTGAAGCAAGAAAGTGGGTCATTGTATAAGAATACCCTGATCATTGTGAAGATGACTTCAAGCTAGAAATTTCACTCTATATTTCTATATATGTCTTTTTTATGCATTGTGGGTATTAAACGAGACGAGTCGTCATTTTAACTTTCAAACGCGGATAATTCTAAACACACATGAATTTCGAGAGTGAGTTGTGAACATTATTACTGATTAGCTGAGGTACAACAATTCCTGTTTCTGAGACTAAGGAACGCTTGGTCAAATCTGTACCTTTAATCTTATGGTCAATTCGAGACATCTACAGTAAAAGTTACCTTAATGACTGTTTATTAAGGGTGAGAATTACTAGATGTGAATTGCGAGACGAATATCACCATTGTCCGGCTAAATCTGATGATAAATTTGTAAGTAAATTCTCAGCCAAATAACCTGTCCACATGTTGGTTATTTTTGGTTGAAACGATCGAGGCAATATTGATATAGTTTTTAATTTAATTTTTTAAAATTTTTCAATCAGAATTAGATACATGTCTCCATGGTCGTCACGAACAAAAATTGACATATAGACAATAGAATGAATTGAAAAATTGCATGATTTTAATTATTTAGTACAGTAACAACGTCCTTGGATAGAAGTCTGTATAATTAAATCACAATCTGGAGATATTTTCTTATTCCGACTTTTCAGTGTCGGTGTAGCTCTTATTTTCAGCAAGCCAGGCAGAGCGTGTACGAAAGCTAGAAATGGCATTCAAGAGCTAAATATCTCTCAACATATAAAATGGAAATTAATTGCATTGTACATCACCAAATCTCTACATTCTATCATTAGAAGCTTTAAAGATTCCAGCAGGGTTATTCCAATTTATTTCTAAGTTAAAAGGATCGAAAGGCAATCAAGAAAAAAGATCAAGTGTTGGTGTGTTTCGGTTTCAGATCACCTCCGATCAATCCGATAATCATCGAGTTAATTTCCGCAATCATTTCCGATGTTCCGAGTTTCCATTTCAGTTTAGTTAATTACTGCAGGTTCCATGCCAATTTCCATAAAATTCCTGTAAGAATTTAAATGCCAAGTTGGTATTCCTGATGTTTTTCGGAAGAAGAAAAGTTTGTATCTTTTTAAATATCAGAACATGATATTAAGATTGATGGTTTGAAAATCTTTAACACAAAAACAATGAATAAATTGTAAAATTGTTTTCTCATTAATTCAACTTTATATTAGATTCATTTCGACAAATTCGAGTCAATATAAAAAAAATACGAAAGGCAAATATTGATGCCATATTAACATTAACGTATTTTGTTAAGAAAAACGAGAGTTGCATGAATAAATTCGTTTGAGAAGAGACTAGTGTGATCCCTACTGCCACGTATATATACGGTGCGAGATGGTCTAATTAGTAGAATACGATTACCATACAGGACGTCCTGAATTGTGCCCCCATCAAGTTTGAACTCGTACTTCATGTATCTCCGTCTTCAATTTTTAAAAATTTACATTAGCAATAATCCAAATCCGTACACTTCATCAGACACCGTTAAACGAGGTAGGGTAAGTGCAGTGTACAGTTCTGGTGTATACGGTGTGGGATTATCAATAGTGAAGAAGTAACGAATATTTAAGTACATAGAGTAACTTCCCTGTTTTTAGTACCTTCTTTGAATAATGAAGGCATATTCCTAAGAGTGGGTTTGCTAAGATGGTGCACCAAATAGCGTTTTTTCAGTTTCCAGCTATCGAAGATCTGTAATGAACATGGTTTGTACAATTGTGCTTTGCACAACCGCATATTAGCTGATAGAAATGGTAAAAGGTTAATAAAACGTGAAGGTTCATGTTTTCCGGGAAAATTTTAACAGTTCATCACGATTTCGCTTCTCGTTTCTTAACATCTAACACTTCTGGACAAGAAAAACATTTTGTGGTATAAGATTTGAACCACATTTAGAGGTGGAGAGTAGATATAACAAAAAACACAAGGGGTATATTATGGTATAACTCACTTCTTTAATAGCAAAGTACATAACGTTTCAACACAATTTACACATTTCATCTGATGACGACATGACATTTAAATTGTGTTGGAACGTTATGTGCTTTGTTATTAAAGAAGTGAGTTATACCATAATATACCCCTTGTGTTTTTGTTACATTTTGTGGTAATTAAGGTACACAATTTATGACAAAATTTTTCAAATAGCTTTATATATATCTCAGACATTTGTTCATCTTCAAAAAAAATAAGTTTTACAGTGTCAAAAAGTAAAAATTCCATGATGAATTTCAGTATAGTAAGATGCGCTGTGTAAATAAAATCTGTTTTTTGTTCTTTATCAGGATATTGCTTGTCAACTGTGTTTATGATTCCACCAAAAAGGTATAGCCGTTAATATTAATTTCTATATTAATCGATTGTAATTCTCATGCATATTTAATCTTATTGGCCATACATTGAAATAATGTATCGAGGACTTCAGCACTTTGAAATCATAAGATTTTTCAAAACATGCCGAAAGAGTTAAGTTCTGCTTATTAGAAATTCAAAATTAGATCAATAGTTATGTTTAGTTTAAGGATAAAAATAATAATAACCACATTGTTCCCAATATTTTACTTCCCGTTGGTAAGTGAAGATTAAATGTCTACCCGACATTTTGATACAACGTTGTATATAGTCAAAAATTTGCAGTCAAATAAGGAAAGTTTAAAACTAGCCTGATATGCCGAAGATGAGTAATTCAAATTATACTTACAAATCCACCACTCCAGATAGGAGAAACACTGTGAGCTAACCAAACTTCAGCTTTTATAGATGATATCACTCCAATACATACACTTAATAGTCCCACAAAACAATGAAATCCAGATACAATATACACTGCATTTTCTACCATACCCATCTTGGAGTTTTGGCGAGTACTTTTAGATTCTGAGTATCTTAATTAAGTGAGACACCTTCAAACGAGGGATTAAGTTGTCAAAAAGTTCTATGTGGTTTATTTTGTCAATATTTTATTTCTTAGACGCCGTTTGTAACGTTTTAGTTTCTTTGATAATTGTAAATTCCAAAGTTTACGGTTCTTTATAACACCAAATAAAATCCGAACATCTTACACGGTGCACTTAAATAGATTGTTTGAGCAAGCAATTAATAAGCGCGGCAGTAAGGAAAGATTGATAGTTTCTGCAAGATTTCTCGTAGGATCAACGATTTTCAATAAAATTTGATCGTCTCCGTAATTCACGCGCTCAGATTCTAACAGAGTTTTCGGAGCAACTTTCTCCACTTAGTTAGATCTGAAGCCTCCCGCCAAAATAACCATCCAAATCACGCAGATTTTCTATGAGCTCTTATTGTCGCCTGGGTAATTCGTTCTTGTAACAGCACGTTTACTAGAAATGACGTCTGTTACTTTCTCGTGCTGATATTCTTCTACTCATGTTTCTAAAGGAATCGTTGCAGGTTCCACCATTCCACCATGGTTCGATCAGGTTGCCTTTCAATGGCCTATCAGTTGATCAACTCGACTGAAAGTAAACAGAAACCAATTTTACACGTATTGATTGATTTGAGCGGGAAAATAAAAGAGCAGACAAGAACTGTGACATACGTGAGAGGGGCTTGAAGGAGAAATGAAATTAAAATGATTAACAAGCCACTATAAAGTTACCACTATTTTATTATTGGATAGTTAACCCTTCATAATTTATGAAGATGACCAGTAAATAATGGTAATCTGATACCATACAAACGCGGTGGATAAATCTTGCTCAAACAGATCATTTTCAGCGAGTTAGGCACATGTCCGTTAACCGAGAGACCTACAATTCAATCCTTGCATAGATGGAAATGCTATTTTGAGATATTTCAACGCTCCCGTGCTGTAGAAGATAGAATTCTTCTATTTTGATGGTGTTGTGTTTCACAATATGTTATTTTCCCACTCGGATCTGACGGTAGTATTATTCTATAAGAGGGTATAAAAGTTATTAATCTAATAAATCATAACACTTATTAATATCGGCATTTACTCTCCATACAATACTAACTGAGCAATAAATGTCGAGTATTATAGTTCTAGTGGAATATCGCTGAACATTGACTGATATAAGCTATGACTGAAAGTGATTGTCAAGAGGTTTTGTAAACTTTTTATGTGTATTGGGAACACTCATCGTATTGATTTGCACCATTCCAATTTTAAATCAAACGTTCTTGCAATTAAACTAAGTATTTTTGTGACGTTACTATCGCAAATTCCCTCAAAATCTTAAGCAGTTTTTGCGATCGCTCTACAAATTGAATGACGCAAAACGGTACTATGTCCCCAATAAACATAAAAAGGGTAGAAAGTATCTTTACAAAGTCTGTATTAAGTGAAGGGTACAACTAAGATACGAATTGGGATCAAAATGGAATTATTTAGATGAAAGTATGATGACATCGTCACGCTTCTAACCGTGTCACAAAATTTGTGTACATGTAAATCGCATGAAATTAAATATTAAAAGCCTGAGAAGCTCAACTTCTTGGCTGTATGATGGAGTGGCTGTTTTCTCATATCATATATGAGCTATTAACAAGTGTTTTCATCAGTATCAATATGCCTATGGGCACGTCTACATAAAAAAGTGTTAAAAATCTTGTCATATTCAATTCTTTTTTAATAATAATGTTTGTTAAGTTAGTGAATCAATAACCAGAAGAGACTAAAACAAATACTTCATATTATTGATGTTTCGTTCATCATTTTCAATCTTCTAGCATCAAATTTAAAAAGTCTCGTCCAACTTGTCAAACTGTTAGATCTTAAAGTTCAAAGGCACTTGAATATGAGACGAAATTAACGATTTCTACTATATCTGAATACCCTTTAACACTTTAACCAGCAATTACACCCTCTAGGTTGGCTGGCTGAATCCGTAAAATAATAAATGGAATCGATTCCAACGTTAGATTTAAACTGGCTCATATTTCTGTTTTATAACGAGGTGAGGTATCATTTTGATATTGCTCGTCGGGTTTAGAACATTAAGGAACACTGTTTTATTGTTCAACGTTTATATATTCCTTATTAAGTTGCAAATAGACAAGGTATGGTGTCCCGACACGTACCTCGTGTGTTTTAGTTTGTATCTATCATTCCGCATCGTACACCGCACCGGACACCATAACTCGTCTATTTGCGGCTTTATTTAGGTAAACCAATTAGACTTTCAACAAAAAAAAAACACGAACCCATGAAACGAGAAATTACCACCGGGCTTTACTGAGGAGGACGGTTCAAAATATTACATTTTAACATAAAACTGATGAAACAAAACTTCATGCTAAATATATTTAAGCTGTGCATCTGTGCTATATGTCTTCAGGAATCTTAGATTTTCAAAAGCAATCCAATACACCTACAGTGTTTTGGTTCAAAATGGCACTAACATTATTCCTTGATTGAATTACATTTAATTCAAACAGGTCAGCAAGCATCATTAGCGAGTATTCTTGTTTGATTACGTCACTCAGACAGACAATTATCTCCCTTTAACAGCCAATTTTTAAACTTTCTTCGTAAACATTTCATTTAACTTTTACAGGTGTCACGGATAGGCTCTATAACAATAATTCCTGACTCCTACACTTTCTCTCGATTTCTATTAATAATCTAAAGCCAATTTAGGAATGCATAATACTATTTTGCTTCATATAAGTTACATAGGCCTACTAAATCCCTTTTTTATGTTAAATTTTCGTATGCCATGAATGAGACTTTGCTATCATGCAAAATATATTCATAACAACTCCAATTAGTAATGGTACTAAATCTGTCACTGCCACACAAAGAAATAGGTGCCTTGGATTCAAATCCTTTCCTAGCAGACATCTCTTAATAGACGTTTTGTGTGCATTTCTCCGAGCCCTTCAAACTCAATATAGCGAGAATTATTATGCTGATAAAATAATGGGCTTGATATTAAATAACGGTAACTAATAATATATAGGCCTAGTAGATAAAGAGGCCAGAATTCCCAATACTTTGAAACAGGGGAATTTTATTGGCCTATCCTAAACTCCGCGTAACCTGAATGAAAACATACACCCACCTGCAAGAAATTCCATAAGCTGCAATCGAATTCAGTAACTACATGCATAAGACGAGAATATTCTGGTCATTTCCTCTGAGTTATATTTAGTATCAAATTCAACATGGTGGCTATTGGAATCTCTTCAGGTGACGTTGTTATTGATCTCAATGCATGCAATAGTTCCATAGAACACGAGCTAGATGGAATCAATACTGTGCCTGGTAACAACATACTGCCAGTCTCTAGCCACTATATAGTATTGGAATTTTATCTGTCAACTGATGTGCTAACCCTAGGCTACAGGGTTATCTCCAGTTTAATTATATTAATGCTGAAAGACATCGAAGGACATTCCAGAAACTCAATACCAATTGGTTTGGATGAATCAGCGATGTTAAGATATTTTATTCCCATTATTCTGATCAATTCAGCGTTTTTCAAGTGGTATGTAACACTCCCAAGCTAATCCCAAGATCTGCAAGTCCAAGAAAAGAATGAATTTATTTTCACTCTGTATCTTTATTAGGCCTATATCGATATATTATTATGTGTTGGTTTTTGTATGGAGCTATTTTCAAAGTTTCTATTTGTAGTTGTCCATATTGAATTGATACCTTAAACGAAGGTTAACTTAAAGGAAGTTTGTGTGAATTTAGCCACGACCTTTATTTTGTTGCTTAACTTAGTAGCCTAATTATTGGGTTACATTAGGCTACGTAACAAATAGTTTTAAATGGTAATCAAGTTATAAAGTTTCCCATGTGGCCTAATCCGTCACGTAGATCTTCCAAGAAACGTTCAGTAGGCTAGATAATCGATTCTTTCTAGAAATAAGCACCTTTCACTGAACTTGTGTGGGAGATTGGGTTATTCTGACCTTGTTTTGCGAAATAGCTTCTATTTTACTCTACAATATCTCATATACCTGGTATAAAATTTCATTGAAACTGTGAAGTTTGGGTTTATTTGATCTCTACAATTTTTATTTTGTATGATTCTAAATTTAAATTTAATAGGCCTAATAATTGTAAGTGACCTCTACCTTGATAAACGTCATAATTTGCCCTCTTTCATTTCGCGTTTAGATGCTAGTAACATCGAACCAAGGGTAACCATAACGTCATAATAGTAATACCGTTATGACGTCTTGTCATTCATTGGAAAAGTTGTCTCATGACAACAAGCAAAATGTCGGAAATGATCTTTAGATTTTGGCAAGTTTTCTCTTAAGAAGATAAATAATGGGCGTAATAAAGAATAATTCGAATGATATCAATCATACTACAGCTCGGACGTTAGTCAACGCTACCGGAATATCGCATTGTTTGGCTAAAGCGATCATAAACTACAGAAAACAGAAGCAAAACAACCCGATTGAAGATTTTCATGAATTATGGAAGGTACCAGGTAAGTTTCGGGATTTAATTAGATCTAGTGGAATCTACACTGTAATAAAGGCCCAATACCTAACTTCTATAAGGTTTAATAAATTCCGAACTGTCGTCTTTGTAAATGTCAATACTAAATTTTAAATCCGTGTTTGAACACTGTTTTTTGTGTCAGAGGATTAGCTCAGTTGGTAGAGAGATGGATTGTTGTCTGCAGCATGCCTTGGTTTCGTATGATACTTTTCAAATGAAGATGTCCCTTACACCCTTGTCTAGTGCTTCCTTCCGTGGCATAGATCTTGGCTCAAACATGAACGAAAATCAATTTACAAAGTTATTTTTATCCCAGGGATGACTTCGGAAGATTATGAAGCAATTGCCGAAGAATTCAAAAAATCTAAACCTCAAGATAAACAGCCAGTAACAAAGGTAAATGTCAAATCAGAGACAACGAAGGGAAAAGATTCTGTGTCGAAAGAGAAGCCAACATCTTCACCAAACTCCACTCAAGGTCGCAATACAGCGAGAAACAGAAGAAAACGCGAGAGAAAAAAGAGAAAGAAACAGGAAAGAATGGCTTCTACATCCCCTGCACCGTCAAGTCTCAAACGCGATACCGATAAAATTAATTCAAAAGCTATTAATCAAAGAATTCGAACTGGAATGAACAAGGCAAACCTGAGTCATAATGGGTTTCAAATACCAAATCTTTTAGTGAATCCCGAATGGGAAAGTCCTCAGAACACGCTGATTCTTTTAACGGGTGGAAGTGGTCAAAAACAAATGTTAATGCCATATAAAGTTAGGTCGTATCAAGACGGCCAGGAATTCGTCGTCCGCTACCTAAACCAGCCACATGTCGATGATTTATTCTCACAGTCTTCCAATCCTCGACATGGTGGTAAACAGACAAAGAACAGCCAAGATAGATCGTTATCTGCATCTCCAGAGAGGCGTCATGCAAGTACGAGTAGAAGTGGAAGTCGAGGCCGGAGCCGAAGCCGTAGTCGAAGTAGTAAATCAACAACAACATCTCCACCAGAAAAACGCTCGCGATCCAACCCGCCTAGTAACTCAGATTATTCTGGTAACAATGTTAAGATAATAGAAATGGGTTCTGTTGTTCCACAAGGTCCTGGAAGTAACACTCTTCGCAGTGATATCACTATTCCGGCAAACGCAGAATGGTCGAAAAATGATCACGAAAGTGTCCGCAATTGGTTAGCAGGCGTCGGAAATGAAAATATAATTTCTTCCAGTGGACAAGGAACACGTGTGAGATCAATATCTGCCGATTCCCGTTTAACGACGGGAGAAAACTCAACGCGTCGCCGTCTTGATTTCGATCAACAAAAACCTAGTACTTCTGCAGGAAAAAGTTCTCAAATAGGCCAACGTAAGCCGAATGAATTTGATGGGAACTATCCAACAATGTCAAGAGACAAATCGCGCCAAAGTCCGGGAATATTTAGTTCATCAAAGCAAGTATACGATACAGTGCAGAGATCTCGCGAAAGAAACAGAGATGTCTCTTTAAAACGGCAGAGGCATGGTGCAAGTCGCCATAAATCTCGCCATCAATGGAAGAGTAGAGTCGATCCCGAGGATGGTATTCTGGAGGATGAAAGGCGCCCCATTGAAGCTCGCCTTGACAGACCTCGTGATGATAATACTGGTCTAACTGCAAAGGAGATGAGGAGGGCCAAGAAGCAGGATTTGGAACGACAGCAGCTGCGTCATCGAAATCGATCTCGAGCTAGATCAAGGGCAAAGTCCAGGGCTCGCTGGCGAAAAAGGTTCTTTAATTGCACTGTGATGTAAAAGGCTGATGGTGAATAAGGATAACTTTTTGAAATCATCGAATTACGGAATTCCTCGTATCCGATTTACTAAATGAAATAAGTGGTTTTTCTTGCATGGGATGATTTATTTAGTCGGAACAGTTGTCTCTATACTAAACAAATAATGCTAACTTTAGAACTATTTCTACATGATATTTTGATACTAACCTTTATGGCATATACAAAGTATATAAAATCATTTTATGTATACAAATGATAAATGATATCATACATGATAAATAATAAACATTATAAATTAAATTTTTGGCAGTTTCAATAGCATAGTGAATAACTAAACGTTGTCTGAAGCATTTATTTTAGATCATTGTTACGTCCCTTTGAATACTAAGTCAACAATCTCTCAAAAGAAAACATTGGTTAGTACAATGCAAGTTAAAGATGCCTAGTACACCCCCATCAAAAAGTAAAAATCAGCATAATAATATTGTATTATAATGATAGTCACGCCCACATGTTTTGCTTTCTGTATTCATATTGTTCGACAGATAATGCATATTTAACGAAAATGTCCATATTTCAATCGAAATCTGGAATGTGGCAATATAGATGGAAGCTTCAACGGCTGAGGCGAGCAACAAGTTTTTGAAGGGGGGCGGGGCGGGTTGGTGTTGCGACTTTTGCCCCCACTTTTAATTGCCTTTGGCCCCCGAGGAACATTTTGTCGCTCCTGCTCTACCACTATCATTTGGACGAACAGGCAAATATATCGATAATATCTAGTTTGTTCTTGTATATCGGTCATGAAATATATCATTGTTTCTTCAGAAAATGTTTCTCTGACCGCTTCTATAACAACTCAGACGCCATGGACAAACTTATATTCTATGTTTGTCTGGTCTCCAATAGGTCAACAAAAATAAGACTAACACTTGAACAGTGTTAATTCATTTCATTGCGACACTAAGCCTTTTTTCGTCAGGTCATGGCCTTTAGATTAGATAATCATTTCTCACCTGCAATTCATTAATGTTTTGTTGAAAAAAAGAAGGAAAATAATTTTGAAACAATGTTCAAGTTATGTTTTCTGATAACTTGGATGACATTACATAAATTGTTGCCCCCTCTAGTGGCGGAAACTGATATTATTACAGCTCTTTAGTGGAGGAGGTCAGATTAGGCTGTCTGCTTCAATTTCTAAAATAACGTTTCTTAATAAAATGATAACAGATTAGTTTTTGTATATTATGATATCAGATTTCTTACCATCTTGACTTAATATCTAAAAATAATTTAAATCTAACTTCGTAACGATTATTTGTTTTTAGAAGTGACAGCAATCAGAGGTTTTCATCCTGGGGTAATTACCCTCCAAAGAGGTATTTTTAAAATTTGTGGGGAGAAATGAGGCACTTTCTATTCTACCATTAAATATTTGGACAATTTATAATTAAGTCGTTCTATTCAGTCACTTTCAATTGCCTACTCAGTTAGCCTTAGAGAAAATTATGAATAGTAAGGATTAATAGGGGGAATCAATCAAAGATCCTGAAAGGGATACTAAAAAGAAAAAAATTGAAACCCCTGGCCCCGTATTCTCGAAACGATCCTAGGATGTCCTAGAATCAATGTTAGAAGATAACAACAGGACATCCTAGCGCTAAGATCGTTTCGAGAATACGGGACCTGATCTATCAGACTCGGACTGTTAGGGTTTCTCATGTCTTCCGGGCTAAACAAAGAAACAAACAATATAAAATTTCAGTTTTCAAAGAAACATGTTTTTAATTTCTTATTTCTCCATGGCGTGGGACTCGATAAATACTGGAATATTTTTCGAAAGTTTTCAGACACAATAACAACACCCTCTCTCGTCTCCTACCCCCATGCCTTGGCAGTTGGCACTCTATACGCATATTCTATATTTCTATCGTAAAATATGTGGGGCCTTCAATTCGGTTATTTAAAGTAACCATTAGGTGATTGAAATATATATCTCACAGCAAACCAGATTATAATACAATGCCTGAAGACATCTTAAACTGACTCTTTCAGATTGTTTATAGTTCATGATCTAATTGAATCAGACATTGCGTGAGATCACTTTATCGTTTTTTAAAAGAAAAGAGACTAGACTTAACAGACTCGACAATGAACAGTTGATCTATCGTTTACCACCAACGCCACATTGGAACAGATTTTGTTAAATGTTGCAAATAGACGGTGTCCGGTAAGATGCGGGTTTATCGATATAGTAGAAGCAGCAAATACACGAGGTAAGGGTCCGAATACGATACAGGTGCGATTGGTCAATTATCGACAATCATGCATCGTACTACGTACTGTACACCGCATTTCAAACGTCTTTTCCAACGTTGTTAACGTTAGTTGCAATTTAATAAACTTCTATAAATGAAATGAAATGAATGGAGTTATAAATCCTACTGTAAACGAGCTTCTAGACACCAAATCCGTTTTGAGACGTATATCATGGCGCAAGTGGGAGTCAAAAAATACTAAAGTCACAAAATACTGTCCGAAAATGCGTCGACTGTACGACCTAGTTTATTTTTGGTTAAATCCCTTATATTTTATGTAACAAGGCAATCCCTATTTCGACCTCTAATCTCATTGCATGAATGAAGCTCAATTTAATATCATTACCCAGACAAGTTATGATGAACCGGCCTGGCCTCGACTATTGAAATTTTGATATCATCTAATAATCCAATCAAATTATTATTTGTTTAGAAATAATATCCAGACTCCTACAACAATTAACTAAATAGTATAAGACTTAATGATGTTGACGTAAGTTATTGTAGCCCTTATTATCCAGTACTGTCTATTAATATAGGCATTCTAATTCAACAGTTTAGTTTCCCCTTGGGACAGTTCTATAATGGTTAACTCCACCTAACAACCTGGCATCATCCAAACAATATAATGTTATTCCGGGAAAAAAGATAGTACATTATTCATCCTAATAGCCGTGGCGCGGGTGTCAATACAAAGATTAAAAATATCCTCAGTCTAAATTGGTACCATACAACTCACGATAGCCTTTAGGGTGCAAGTCAAAGTAGATTTTACTTTGACATGATAATAGACTTGAAAAATATAGCTTGGAGGGACGACAGCAGTAACAATATTTTATATATAAATTCAAATCATACCGTAATAAATGTGTGCCACAAATCAAACAACCATCCGCCCGCCATTTTGAAAAGTATCAAAGTAATGGCCAGCTTCAAGACTTGATTGGAAAAAGTGCATTTGCTCCCTGAATGATTCTAACAACCGATTATTGTTTTGGAATTCTTTTAGAAGAATTCACTTAGTCAATGAAGTTTAATTTACATTTTAATTCTGAATTGAAAAATACAATAGTCTTGACAATTTGGATCTAGAATCCGAAATTATTTCGATTAGGTTCAAATAACGTCGTTTAGTTAATATCAATTTTATAATTCTGTTCATACCAAACTTCATGTGGTTCTGACATGGAAATTTGCCACGTAAGAACCACACGTAGTTTCGTATGAATATCAAATTCTTCAAACAACACTGAAATTAGATGTCTTCTCTCGTAACTTAAAGTAAATGTCTATACTATGTACCGTTGTGAAAATGTATCAACAAAAACATCTCTTGAAAGAGTCTTTTAAGTTTTTTTGTAGCAGAACACAAGAGAAGAGGGAAAGGGGTTCGATTCCTAACTAAAGTAGCATTAGTTATGGGCATAAATAGGCATCATCAGAAGCTATTAGCTATTGCCAAAGATTGTTTACATCTGTTGGCTCTCTAAACCTACCTGAGCTATGAAGTCACTCGGTTTGCAATGACAGACAATTATGTAAGTTGAACAAATCAAAAACAACTGTACATTCTAATTATAATTGTTGGGTGAAAATTTCATTTATGAATATTGTCGATGCTTTCTCTGCAGTCCGCGTCACGTATGCCCGATTTCTTTAGAGAGACAATCAACAAGATGTTACCATTCTCCTTTTTAATTTACGCAATTACTTTCACAATTACAGTTATTATTCGACAACTCTTTATCATATTAGTTTGTGATTCGCACTTTTAAAAAACTATTTCATATAAAAGGTCATATCAGAAAGTAAGCCACTGGCCGTCTTTTTTGCTTTTGCCCTGCATGTTCATAGTTTTTCACTTAAACTTGTAAATGTTATATGGCTGTATTTGTCAAAAGGAATGTAACATTTCGAAACTATGTTCTGTATTCAAACCATGGTATCTGTTCTGTAGCACGTCAAAGAAACAACCATCTTATCGGGTCGATATTAATTTCAATTTAACCAATTAAAGAATTTTGTACGATTTTTTTATTGCAGACAATATGGTAAATATGGTAAAAAAAATATGGTTGCTCCATCAAAGGGCAAATGTCACACGGGCTTACACAACCTCGATAAATCAATTTCATTGTAAAACTTTGACTAGGCATCTGCCCACAATGAGCTAAGACGATACTAATTAATAATACGTGATGTTAATTTCTGAATCAAATTGTAAGAAACTGATCATTTCAACATTATGTATGTATTTCAGCCAACCAGCGTGGATATGTCGTAATTTTCCCAAGCCCAACTGTCTAGCTTTGTATCTTTACAATCTATGACATTAATTAAAATATATCATAGGTAGTTCAGAGTAATCTAATTACTTCTATTGATCAGTAAACAATTCAACTATCACCCTATTTCACAACATAGTTTCAAATTCTGTGTGGGGTCGGGCATCTTCCAGAAGTTATTGTTGTGCTTATTGTATTGAATCGAACTTGAATCCTAATCTAGGCTATCATACTATTATATTCCCCTATTTGTTCATTGTTTCAAATTGTGTGCGTAGTCGGTAGTAGTAAGATATGCTTTTAGACAAGGCCTCTCGCCATTCGAAAATTGAAAAAGCGTAGACCAATGACGCTGTTATGGCGAATTGTCCTTATGGATTACTGCAAGACAAAGCCATAAGCCAATCACATTCATTATTTCGCCACAGAACCTTATTATGGTGAGATATCTTACAGTCTTACAACAGAGTTATGTTCTTTAAGTTTTAAGCATGTTTATGCAACAAAGATTACGATTACTCTCTCTAAAACCCTTAACGGAAATCAATGTTAAACAAAAATTGAAATTATTTATCTGTGCACCAAAATAGGACATGATTTTATCAAATTATTTAAAATAGTTTTTCTCTGTACTGATATTCTCTTTGAGACATAAAAGTTTTAAGCATGTTTATGCAACAAAGATTACGATTACTCT